AATTAGGTATCTTGCTTTCTTTTTTAGAAACTTATCATCATCTAAAGCGACCAACACAACCACGTATATATACCTAATCAAGGGCAGACTTGATTACTTACTTGCTTACGTTTACTTCCTTACATCCAATCTAAGACAACGAACCATCACACATCCACACATTATTTACTTATAAACTTACTACACCTAATCTAAGCCAACAAACGACCACACCTTCCTTACTTACAACGTTTATCTCCCAACCATCACACAATTCACACACCACTTACTTACGAACTAACCACATCCATCTAGATATCGTCACATATCTTCACATTACTTGTCTACAGTCGTACCATATCCACCTTTGAACCATCACATATCCACATCCACACATTACTTCCTTACAGCTACCCATTTCCACCTCTAAATTCAACCACCACATTCTCCCCTACGAACTAAAAATATCTACCGTTAATTAACACATATCCGCATCTTACATCCTCACGAGCTAACCACATCCATCTTTAAACCACCACATATACACATCCACACATTACTTCCTTACGACTACCCACATCCATCTTTAAACCATCACACATCCACACATTTTTCCCTACGAACTAAAAAACATCCATCTTTAAACCACCACATACTCACACATTACTTCTTAACGAACTAACCACATCCACCTTTAAACCACCACATATCCACATCCACACATTACTTCCTTACGACTACCCACATCCACTTTTAAAATCACCACGCATCCACATATATATGCATAGAGGCTCGTTGTCCCTTCATCCCTCGGTCATTCAGACACAAGCACATCAGTTGCATGCAATATATATGTGTTGCAATAGTCAAGCACTTCCGGGCTCGCTGTGGTGACTCGTGTTTTGCATCTCAGTTACTCACGTCGTTTAGTTTACTCGTGTTTTCTTCCTCACAAAACTTTATTTTATTATTTACTCATATCTAAGGAGGAGATGAAACTGATGGGAGAAGGAAGTGTGTGTCGTCGATTTTATTTATTTGTTATCTCTTGTTGTTTTGCAAGTCGTATTTATAATTTATTTCCTTTTCTCTCTTGCATGCGAGTCAGAATATTTTAATTCACTCTCTCTAACTCACAGAATCTTTTTCATTGCATAGTCACACACCTCACTCATAACTCATGAGAAAGAACACGTTAACCACACTTTCTAACTCACAAAACCTCAATCATTACTCACCCACATTAAGAACATGAGGAAGAACATCTTAATCACTCTAACTCACAAAATCTCACTCATTACTCACCCACATTACGCGCATGAGAAAGAACACGTTAACCACACTCTCTCTAACTCACAAAACTCTCACTCATTACACACCTACATTAAGAACATGACGAAGAACACGTTAACCACACTCTCTCTAACTCACAAAACCCTCACTCATTGCACACCTACATTAAGAACATGACGAAGAACACGTTAACCACACTCTCTCTAACTCACAAAACCCTCACTCATTACACACCTACATTAAGAACATGAGGAAGAACATCTTAATCACTCTAACTCACAAAACCCTCATTATCATTACACACCTACATTAAGAACATGACGAAGAACACGTTAACCACACTCTCTCTAACTCACAAAACCCTCACTATCATTACTCACCCACATTATGCGCATGAGGAAGATGAAATTGGTGGAGAGGTAGGGCTTTTTAATCACTCACTCATTACTCACTCACATTAAGAACATGAGGAAGAGCATGATAATCACTCTCTAATTCACGAAACCTCACTCATTACTCACCCACATTATGCGCATGAGGAAGATGAAATTGGTGGAGAGGAAAAAGAGAATGGGAACTTTCTGAATCCAGTCGACGTGGCTGACCGGCATCAGAGGACAAGTTCTCAAGAGGCCCTCCACGTCTATGTTCTCCATGCCTAGTTCGGGACCGGTCTGTTGGCGAGGAGGAAAAGGGGATTAGGGAGGGAGAATGAGGGAGGGGGGGGGGAGAATGAGGGAGGGGGAGGGAGAGAAAGAGGGAGGGGGAGGGAGAATGAGGGAGGGGGGGGAGAATGAGGGAGGGGGAGGGAGAGAATGAGGGAGGGGGAGGGAGAGAATGAGGGAGGGGGAGGGATAAGGAGGAGGGAGGGGGGGAGAATGAGGGAGGGGGAGGGATAAGGAGGGAGGGGGAGGGAGAGAATGAGGGAGGGGGGGAGAATGAGGGAGGGGGAGGGATAGGAGGGGGAATGAGGGAGGGGGGGAGGAAAAGGGGTTTAGGGAGTGCGTGTGAGGATGGGGGGAGGAGAATGAGGGAGGGGGAGGGATAAGGAGGAGGTGAGGGGGAGAGATAGGAGGGGGAATGAGGGAGGGGGGGAGGAAAAGGGGATTAGGGAGTGCGTGTGAGAAGGGGGGGAGGGAGAATGAGGGAGGGGGAGGGGTAGGAGGGGGAATGAGGGAGGGGGGGGGATGAGGGAGGCGGGAAGGAAAAGGGGATTAGGGAGTGCGTG